GTGGGGGAGGGAGGGAGGGGTGGGTGGGGTGGGGGAGGGAGGGAGGGGTGGGTGGGGAGGGGGTGGGGGTGGGGGTGGGGGAGGGGGTGGGGGTGGGGGAGGGAGGGGTAGGGGGAGGTTTGGAACAACTTGAGGGTGAGTAAATTATGACATTTTTGGGTAACTATCCCTTTAAGGAAGCCAGGGTTTTGGAAATTAAATACCTCTCTGTTACAACACTGATTATTGTTTGGGCATAAAAGGCATAATTAATCCTTTTAAAACAAATACGTAAATTCTCTATAAAATTCAGTAGGCTAAAGATCATTCAAAATCAAAGGAATTACAATATGCAACATTATGAAAAGAAATTAGTCGTATTGCATGTCTGACCTCTCCAAACGAAACAGATAAAGAAAATAATAACTCGTTAAGCAAAAAATTAAACTCTTTTTAAAATAGTAAAGGGGCATTTGTTTGGTCTAGGGCCAAATGGCTAGAAGGCAGGGGGGGAAAATTTGCATACTTTTTAAATGTACAAAAAAAATTATATCGTAGTGACCTCAAAATCTCATCTCTACTGTTGTAGAGAATATCAAAATTGTTTCAGACTTTTATCAAACAATTATATACGCCATCCTTCAACCCTGAATTGAGTGATCTATTTTGATATTGGATGAAAAGGCTACAATTTCATTTTTTTATATAGATTCAAATATTTTTTATGACTCTGTATTCCCCTATTGTCAACTAATATATATATATATATAGACACATTCAACAAAATAAATAATGAAAACCGAAGGTCTCAGTACCAGCAGGAAATGTAGGTGGGGGAGTGAATGAACAGCGCTCTCTTCTCTTAATACCCACAACTGAGGTGCCCTTGAGCAAGGCATCTAACCCCAGGTGCCGCAGCAAAAAAACTAAAAAACTGTCCAGTGCTCCAGGTGTGTGTGCACTTAAATGGGTGAAATGTAGAGCACCAATTCCAAGTATGGGACACCATACTGTGCTACACGTCACTTCACTATTTATACAAGCTATTCCAAGCATATACTGTAGTCACCCAAATCACAACTCACTCGTCTTTTCTTTTTTACAGGTCAATATTAAATATTATATTAGTTTGAGATGATCATTGAGCAAAACCCATGGTAAAACCTGGTTCCATGGCACCTTGTCTCTATGTCAATCAAAGTCCAATCACCCCATAGTCCTGATTAACAGAAGAATATTTTTTATTTCAAAATTAAAGCTTATACCAATAATACAAGCCATGATATTGTAAACGTAGTCATGTTACATTCTATTTGGATTTCAACAGCAGAGGAACAATACAAAAGCAATGAGGCAAATTGTATTTTTCAAACCACATCTATTTCACTATAGAACAGTATTCAAATGAAACCAAAACAGTTCATCTTTTTTTTAGATTGAAGGGTCTGTGCCAAACATTTCAACCAAAATCACAGGACAATAAATAAGAATAAAATATCAAAACACTGATCAACGCATGGTTTCTTAAAAACAAATCTTGAAAATATTTGAGTGAGATGAAGAAGCAAAAGGTCAAATACTCAGGTGGCATTGAAATATTTGAGCAATTAAGACAGCCGAGGCACAGGCCTCTGCATTCACATTCAAAAATCAGTATTTCATCTTTGTGCTTGTTTTAGCTTTGTACATTAGTGCATAAAGACATACTATGCTGGTAGTGAGTCATTCATTATGATAAAATGAATATCCATTTAAACACAAAACAGTAGCCTACACTTGCTTTTAAATATATTAAAATCACGGTTACATGGATATAATCCAAGCTAGTTTGGCCCAGGATCTAATTAGTGTGTATGATATAATGATATCCTCATTTGCTGGTGCCCGTGTGTCTGTTACTCTTCTCTGGCAACACAGACGGGTCTGACAGATGGAGTGTTCAGGAAGTGGGGTCCGACTGAGAGTGAGTGGGCAGTGAGTTGGAGGAGGGATAGGACTTCTCTAAACTGCAATATTGGCCCTTCTCTCATTATGATTCAAAAGATTATTCAGCTAACATGAAATCACATTATTTTACCCTGATCACATTTGTTGCATGCATCAGAATAATAATTTGGTAGACCCAATGAAAACAGGATTTATTTGTGTGATCACTGGTGATTAAGGCTACTAATGGCCTCCTGTACACTCATCCAACAACTTTAAAAAAAAAAGAAAAAAAAAAGGATTTCCTGTGGATAAACTCACTCAATAACAACTGTCCTAAAACAGTATAGTCCTGAACATGACAAGTTTGATGACTTTGGAAATGTTCAAACAATGTACAAGGATGACAAGCAGCTTGTAACAGACACACATTTGGTTCAACGTTTTAAAAATGATTCCTCTAAGAAATGTCCTGGTTTGAATACATGGATGTGCTGTCCACAGCATTTGTGCCATTATAGTGATTACCACAGAAAATACTTTTCTAGGTGGATGAAGTTTTGTTTATGCCAAGAGTGGAGTTTGCTCCATGCTCACACGTGACATTTGAAAGTTAATGAGTTTACAGGCTGTACCAGTCACTGAAAGATTGTCAGTAAACAATTTTGTTACACTAGTCCATGATTTACACAAAACTTTCTGTTTTTAGTGATTTATATTTTTGATAATTGCCAAACGCTGTAGATAGAGCCTGTATTTACATTCCTCTAAATGAGTAAATAGATCATTATGGACAAAAACCTGTTTTCTCACTCACTTGCACCTCGCATGCTCAATTCTTTATAATGATTAAAGAATCCTAAAAAAAAAAAAAGGATCATGGTTTCCACAAAATATTAAACAGCACAACTGTTTTCAACATGGATAATAAATGTTTCTTGAGCACCAAACCATCATATTAGAATGATTTCTGAAGAATCGTGTGACACTGAAGACTGGAGTAATGATGCTGAAAATTCAGCTTAAACATCACAGGAATAAATTACTCTTTATATATATATGTGTATTAAAATAGAAAACTGTTAAATTGCAATATTATTTCACAATATTACTGTATTTACTGTATTTTTGGTGAGCATTAGACTTCTTTCAAAAACATTTTTTAATGTTTTAACCCCCAAATTTTAAATGGTAATACATAATATAAAAAACAATGATAAAATCTACAAAACTAAATCTAAAATTAAATCTAAAAATAATAAAGATTAAATCTTTTGCAAATCACAGCATTTCCTTCTGCAAAGGAAACAAACTATGACAGAAAATACTACACCAGCATAAATTAATAATGTAAAAGAAGATAAACAAACTAAAAAAAGAAAGGCTGGGTAAGTGAGAGAACAGGTTTTACTGTGGAAATTTAGATTCTTTCCTTTAAAACTGGCTAAAAATAAATAAATTCTGGTTTCATACATATACACCATTTCACATGTTGGTGTTAAAACTGGTTTAGGGTTTCAAAGTAAATATAGAATTAGGATTGTTCCGGTTTTGCGGTATGGACCAATCACTACAGTCTTTGGCAGTGTAATAACAGCACAAAAACATAGAGACAAAACTCTTTCAATAAATATGACGAATATGTCAGTTCATTAAAAACAAATAATAAGATTCACTTAGTACCAACTAAAACACGAAAGCAGTTATGCAATAATAAAAAGACTATACAGCATGTGAATGAAAGTTATTCTCATTTCTTGCAAACTATCATCATGAGGCTTTGAACTAACAACACTTTTATATAAAAAAAAGCTTCTCTACACTTCCTAATTTCAGCTCAAAGCTGCCTGGAAGGAAACATCGTTTTGAGGACATATGACTGAATCGAGAACAACTGGAGACAATTAGGGTGGTAGCAGTACTACTGTCTAAAGAAATTCAGAGGAGAACTTGCATTGGTACTTCCAGCTGGATCACATGAGATCACTGATTGAAGATGCTTATTCCAACAGCAGAGAGAGAGACTCTGCCGTATCAGAAGCTTTTGCACATAATCACACACAGATGTCTGCTTGTAACTTAAACATTTCCTTGCTCATAATTAAAAAGAAGTTCAAAATGTACTTGCTCATGCAAACTGCAAGTCTCAGCAAAGCTGTACGAGCTGCCAATTCGGGCAAATACTGATTATACATCTTAACTAATCAGATATGCAGACCCATATATAAACAATGTTAAATGTAACCAGAGTAAAACAAGCAAATAAAATAAATAGAAATTAGCAAAAAACTTCACAACTATATATGTCCCATTGTCATGATTTCTGCTATTGATACAAGCTGATTTACAAATTTAACATTAGTTGGATACAGTGTTTCGGCATTTTGATACATAAAACCTTGAGGTGCAGCATCAATGCTTTTTAGAGTCCAACTAAACCATTTCGCATTATATAGCGTCCAACAACACGCAAACCAAGAAGGCAAAGGTATGCTGAGGGAAAATGTACATCATTCTGTACGGAGATCAGCCTCTCAGTCTTACTGAATGAGACTACGACAGGCTGTAACGCCACGCTGCGTTTAGATCTGCCCGACAACATCTACAAACAACCATACGGACCTCAGTACGAACAGAAAGACACATATTAAGGCCATTTTGTATTAAATGTATTAGGCTAACCTCTTCTAGAGACCAACCACACATCCGGAGTTAAAGTCTGATAATCATCATAACACATAGTAAACATTATTTCTCTCTCCTTCTGTTTCTGCAACACACACACACACACACACACACACACACACACACACACACACACACACACACACACACACACACACACACACACACACACACACTGACATTTCAGATTGCCAAGAGGTTGATCTTTCAACACGTGAGACCCCTATATGTACACACACACTTTACAAACAAATCTCATTGTTACATGGAGTTATAAATCCTGTAAAAATGTCTTAGCAGTAAAAGGAAAATTGCTGTATTTGTAGGCTCGGAAATTGAGGAGGTCCCTAAACCTAATGCTAAATGTACATCATAAATGGTTTCTATGTGTGTGTACTTCATGGCTTGGTGTCTGCTTGTTATTGTGTTCATCCCACCACATATGAAGTACACACACATAGAAACTTTGTCATATTTGAGCACTGATGGCCTGCTGAACGTTACTATGAGGGCAGCACTTGTGTTATGATATATATGATCCCTTTATGTTTGTTGTGTTACTGTTATGGTAAAGAATAAAGAAAAAAGTATATTTAATAACTGATTGGTGTTGTGATGTTGAATTTAGGTCGGCTAAAATGTAATATTGGGTCTGCTTCTAAAAGGACGGTTCAACCTAAACTTCTGTTGTGTTTGAATACAAGAGACTTGAGGAACTGAGGGTCAGTCCCTGCCCCATGTGTTCGGATGAAGGTCAACTGCTCTGAGGAGAGATGTGAAGGTTGTGCGCTCATGGAGGCTTTACTCTTCTGAGGTCTTTCGAAGCTGTCTTTCATACAGACTGAGTACATGATGAACAAACTGATACTGCTCCGCTGTCTGGATCATCCCACCTCTAAACACACAACAACAACAACAACATTAACAACAGCAGGAGACCAACTGTTAATACACGTCATCCACAGAATAGCATCTAGCAGTCCACTTTTATAGCACTTAACAAGAGACTATTATAACACCATATCTATGACTTTAGGGTGGCCTGGATACCACTGAGGGCAAAGAGCCAATGTTTATTCTGCTGCTGTCTCAGTACTCAAACTGACACTCATGTTTAATAGAACATACAGTGAATATATTTTACCTGTCCAAGCGTAGCTGGCTAGTGGTCTTCAGGATGTCAACCACCCCTTCATTGCTTAGCTGCTGGCATAAGATGGAGGTAGCAATGAAACAGCCAGTGCGTCCAATCCCTGCACTGAGAGTAGAGAAAATGGTGTTTAAAAAAATGTGTCAGTCCCGGAGAGCACAGGGACGACCAATCAATAGACAAAAGCTTTATTTGCCAAGTGTGCAGCATTTATTATGGGATATGATATTAAGTGCTCAAATGGATCATATATACACAAGTCCCTAGAGGGTTTCTTACTTATAGACTAGTCGGTTACAAAACTTCAATTTACAATTTGTCGATGCCCACATACCTAATATATACACTCTCCGGCCACTTTATTAGGTACCCCATGCTAGTAACGGGTTGGACCCCCTTTTGCCTTCAGAACTGCCTCAATTCTTCGTGGCATAGATTCAACAAGGTGCTGGAAGCATTCCTCAGGGAGTTTGGTCCATATTGACATGATGGCATCACACAGTTGCCGCAGATTTGTCGGCTGCACATCCATGATGCGAATCTCCCGTTCCACCACATCCCAAAGATGCTCTATTGGGTTGAGATCTGTTGACTGTGGAGGCCATTTTAGTACAGTGAACTCATTGTCATGTTCAAGAAACCAATTTGAAATGATTAGAGCTTTGTGACATGGTGGAAGTAGCCATCAGAGGATGGGTACATGGTGGCCATAAAGGGATGGACATGGTCAGAAACAATGCTCAGGTAGGCCGTGGCATTTAAACGATGCCCAATTGGCACTAAGGGGCCTAAAGTGTGCCAGGAAAACATCCCCCACACCATTACACCACCACCACCAGCCTGCACAGTGGTAACAAGGCATGATGGTTCCATGTTCTCATTCTGTTTACGCCAAATTCTGACTCTAACATCTGAATGTCTCAACAGAAATCGAGACTCATCAGACCAGGCAACATTTTTCCAGTCTTCAACTGTTCAATTTTGGTGAGCTCTTGCAAATTGTAGCCTCTTTTTCCTATTTGTAGTGGAGATGAGTGGTACCCGGTGGAGTCTTCTGCTGTTGTAGCCCATCCGCCTCAAGGTTGTGCGTGTTGTGGCTTCACAAATGCTTTGCTGCATACCTCGGTTGTAACGAGTGGTTATTTCAGTCACTGTTGCCCTTCTATCAGCTCGAACCAGTCTGGCCATTCTCCTCTGACCTCTGGCATCAACAAGGCATTTCCGCCCACAGAACTGCCGCTCACTGGATGTTTTTTCTTTTTCGGACCATTCTCTGTAAACCCTAGAGATGGTTGTGCGTGAAAATCCCAGTAGATTAGCAGTTTCTGAAATACTCAGACCAGCCCTTCTGGCACCAACAATCATGCCACGTTCAAAGTCACTCAAATCACCTTTCTTCCCCATACTGATGCTCGGTTTGAACTGCAGGAGATTGTCTTGACCATGTCTACATGCCTAAATGCACTGAGTTGCCGCCATGTGATTGGCTGCTTAGAAATTAAGTGTTAACGAGCAGTTGGACAGGTGTACCTAATAAAGTGGCCGGTGAGTGTATATATATATATATATATATATATATAAAATTATATTATATGTATGTGTGCGTGTGTGTTACCTGCAATGAACAATGACAGGGCCACTGTTGGATGGAGCCTGTTTCCTCGCTTCCTCCACTTCCTGAACCAACTCCAGGAGAGGCGGGGCCTTGTCTGGAGTTTTTTGATCTGGCCAGGATGTGTACCAGTACTGTCTGAGAGTGCGCTCCTCACCCTCACTCTACACACACAAAACATTCACATTGCACATTTGCAGTTCATAAACACACATGTATACACAAGAGCGTTTCTAGCCTTTCAATCAGTACTGGGCCACGGCCCAATTACAAAAGTGTCCCCTTAAGGCCATTTCACACCACACCGACAGACGCTGACCAACGGCGGCAGTAACCAGATTATAGCACATCACTTCTCTTAGACATTCTAATGCTGGGTAGTCACACATTATGCGATTTTGACTCCTAAATTATTGTCGTGACTTCGTGAAGCATCACAGATGCGGTGTCGGTTGTCACCTAATATGACACACTATACGGGATGAAACGATTGAACGATTGATTGATGCATTGTGCCCAAATCGGGTTGAAATCGTGTAGTATGAACCCGGCATAATTCCTATTCAGCATGTTCAATAGGTGAAAACAAGCTCTGACAAGGGCTAACACCGATCCGACAAAATCCGACGAAGTGTCTGTTGCCGTCTGTCAGTGCGTTGTGAATTGGCTTTATTTTGATACTGTTTTTTGTTACTGTTTTAGATATATAGAAAATGAACTGTCTTTACCTGCATTACAGAGTGTGTTGCTCGTTTACAAGCTGCACATGCAACAAAGAGCTGCTTCATGTGTTGCCCATATACTAACACAAACACACATTCTTTGATATATCTCTTTAAGATATCATATACGCAGATTTTGTGATTAAATACATTTCCTTCAATTATGTGAAACACTGCATTGCTAAGAATATTTGTTGCCATGACAGCAATGCCTCTAGAGGAAACACACCTAGAAGCTTTTCTGCTATTGCGCTCAACCTGGACTTCTCACTTTCTGTCCCTATTATCTTTCTACTCCACTTTCATGCAAACTTTTAGGAGGTTAGACTTTTCAGTAAATACGGGACTAGTTTTTATTAGTTACAATATATTAGTTATATTATAATTGACTTATTCTTTAAGAAAGTGATGGCTTTTAAACAGCAATTAATCTGCATTTCTCAAGGTCTGTGGGGAATTCTACTTGAAAAGAGGATGCAAAATATGATACAGTAATGTGTCTCATTTTTCATGGGTTTTAAACTAATTTAAAGTGCCCCTATTATGCTATTTTAAAGTTTCCTAATTTTGTTTTGGAGGTCTCCTACAACAGGCTTACATGCATCAAAGGTCAAAAAGCAGTTTCATTTTCTCATAATATACATTGCACATCACCACATTGTTCCATGATTCTCAAATGACTTGTTGGATGAATCAGTCTCATCCCTCCTTTCAGTGAGCTACTCTGCTCTGATTGGCCAGACAGCCCAGTCTGTAGTGATTGGGTCTACAGCTTACAGCGCCTGTCTGAAGCTAACGGCCTTTATACCATCTTGAAAACTTGAAAAGCCCTCAGCGACTGTACACACTGTAAAGACAGTAACAATGATGTTGATTTTACCAAATCAATCTGAGCACGAGTTTGATGATAAAACATTGGAAGAACTTATTCAACCCGAACATTCATCGCAAGGACGGCTTGAGCAGGAAGTTTCTCAGTGAAACGCTACTCAGTTTGAGGTACATTATGAGATGTTGCAACTGTAATTGTTGCAACTGTAATGTCCATCAACAAACCCATGTGTGTGTATATATTTCTAATTTATTGCAGTGCACATGCGGGAACTGTATCAATAATAGTGCATCTGTTAGCCGAGCACTAACTTGAATGACTGTAAGATTAAAGTTTGCTAAACAAATCTGGTTCCATCCTTTATCATTACACAAAGTAGTAAGAATGACAGACAATCTGCATTAATAGACACAGTTTTAGGTAATAGTGGCCCACAGCTGATTAGCAGAAGTATTTCAGTAAGACAGTAATAACGTGAGTTAGCCGGTTAGCCGGAGATCACAATATAAAACGCAAAACTACATATTTTGAACCCCCGGTAGAAAATGTATACATCAATAATTATTCATACTTACAGGTTGTTAGTCTGAGGAGCAAGCTGGTCCAAATAAACTGGGTACTGACCCATATTTCAAGAGCGAGCGTTTCTTTTGATTTGAGAAGCAGTCATCAGTAAAATGACGTGTTGTGGGCTGGCCAAGTTGTTCGTGGGCAGACAACGTACAACAAAGCATTATGCAAATGTATCTTCTAGTGACGTAGAACGGTAAAGCAATAGGATTCGAATGAAAAACTACTCGTATTGGCGGTTCAGAGACGATTCTTTCTTTTGGGAGACAATAACTTTATTTAACTTATTTAACTTTATTCGACTTTACAACTTTGCAGAACGTTTACATTTACAAACAGCTATGTTACACAATGCATGAATGGGAATATTCGAAAAACCATAAAAGGGGCCCTTTAAAGTTGCAGTAATGCTGTAATGTTGACCAGTAGGTGTCACCAAACTGCTCAGTAACGTGACAATGACATGCTACATTTTGCTAATAGACCAAAACATTACTAAGATATACTTAATACTTCCTGATACTTTCCTATACTTTGCTATTGTTAACTTTGTTTGTCTCAAAATTATATCCCTTCAGTTGGTATCAGTGTGCCAGATTTCTTTAATGAGAGTAATAAGAAGAAAATATCAAATTTCTCTCAACTTTTTGGTACAAATGTAACTGTTAATTAAGTCGGTTAATACATTAAAAGTCCATCAATCATTAGTTCACTTATAAATTAATATAAATGCAAGTCAGTTATTTTTACCAAAACGCACTCAAAACACCAAACAGACCTTCACAGTGAAAATCCTTAGACTGTAGTCATCTGCCTGGATGACCTGTTTGACAGTGATCTCGATACCCTCACAGACAACACTGTCCTCTGGCCAGTATTCTGTGCATTTCTGTGGATCACACAGACAAATATGTTTATTTAATTCATATTGATATCCAGCACAGCTCATTTTAACCCATGCAGACAAAAATCCATTCACGATTCCTGATGACTGAAATCAGGACTTGAAATTCAAATTGAAAATTGATATTCATTGAAATATTTCTAGGCAAGTAAAGAGTCAACATCACCTGAAACAGGTGCCTTTATTAACTTTTTGACTACAAAAATACAAAGTGAACATTTAGGAATGTGGTTTCATCCCAAGTAATTGCTCAGTATTAAATAGTGACAGCACCAGAGGTTGGACAAGAAGAGCAATTTAGTGTTGATTCAAGTTTACAAAATCCTGACAATTAAAGAGGAAATCCATCTGAATAATCTAGGATTTTTAATCACTCAGCATGAAAGACTGATTCATCCCAATCATGTGAGCATAGTGTGCATATGGTATATGTGTGGATATAGCCAGACCTCATTTTTTTCTTCAATATTGGTGATCATGACGATAATGGGACAGTGCTCCTGCCAAACCATCCTCCAGAAATCCCCCACTGTGTTTACAGTGGGACCCTGTGTGGCAATGTAAGCCTTTTCTTTCTCACCATAGCCCTAAAACAACATATGATAAAAACAAAAATGTAAATTCGAACAACTTTAAATGGCTATTTTGAGAAAAAAACACACAAAACTTTTGATAGTTTGTGATCTCATAATATATGTCATAAAAAAATAACTCCATAATTGTCTTTTCTTAAATATAATTTAGGGCTCATACATTTATTAGCTGAAATTTGAGGACAAATGACAGAATGTTACAGAAATGTTGCAAGAATGAAGCAATATTAAGAGCCCTCACAAAAATGCTAAATGATTAACAACCTTCAAAAAATGTAACGTTACACTACAAACTTGTTTATTTTATAAAATGTTATTAAAACAATTTAAATACTATATCAACCAGCAAAGTAACTTTTACAATTTGATGCTAACACAGACTCACCTTCAAATAATTAGCATTGATGTAGGTGCTGAGAAAATCACCTTCCTCGTTTGCTTTTAAGCAAACTCTGCTATGTGTGTCTGCAATTTAGAGATAAGACCTTACAAATACAAAGGTATGCCAATATCAAGAACAAACCTTATTAGATGTTTCCACATATAACTGTTTACAGAGTATTATACGCACTTGGTAGTATGGTTTTGTAGCGATTCTTCCTCACCACGCCGGGGAAAGTGTATTCTTTTGGGTCCACGAAGTTCATGGGTGTCTCCTGTTTCCAGCAGAATCCCAAGATGAGCAGTGACGTCACGTTACGATCGCTGTTTTGTTGTGTATATGCTTGTTACTGTGAATGATACTCACGTAGAACTCCGCCTGCAGTACAGCGTCGTCCAGTGCGCGCTTGTGCAGCTGCTCAGGGGTGAGCAGGTTGGATGCGTTCTGCAGGTATTCCTGTGTGCCCTGCTCTTTAGGGGACAGCAGCGCTCCATAGGGCTCTGTAGTACCAGGGGTGCACATGTCCAACGTCAGCGACACGTTAGAACCTCTCCTGAAAATCACAACAGTTTTTCAAGTGTTAAAGTTAAAAGCTAAAACTATTTTGACTACTTTTCTTTTTATAAGAGTTTGTTTTATGCACTTTAGGATATATAATTCTGCATAAATGAAGTGGGAATTCATCTGTTGTTCAAATATTTATTTAAAGTTGCCTTTTAAATATTGAACAATTGCTTTTTAATGTTTAATTATGACACAAGTGGTTAGCCTTTCCATCCTCACCACTTCTGCATTTATTATTCTTTCCTCATTGAAATATTTAGCACACTGTCACATTAAACACTTAACTAACAAAGCCATCATAGAATATTCTAACAGCAAACAACAACAAATTATTTATGAGTCGTACAATACATCATATGTGAAGCATCCAGAAAAAATAGCCTGTTTTATTACCTTTCCTGCAAGCCAACAGGTTTGACAGTGAGAGTGGCAGGGTCAGTTTCGGTCTTCATGTCCATAAAGCAGTCGAACACAGGCGTCTCCGGAACAGCATCCAGCTCGTAGAAATACTCCTGTTTAGCATCAGTCCATTCTGAATATGTAAAGGAGGGCTGCCTGCTCATGGACTGACGACGGTCGTCAGGGAAGCAAGATGGGTTGCCAGGCACCAGGGTTCTAATGCAGAACAGCGTCTGTTATGACAGCAAAAGGGTAAAAAAGGAAAGTTCAAGCTTTACACAAAGGAATGAGTGCATGCTAAACAATGTAGGGTTCAAATCAGCTGCTGCAACACAGATTATCCTGAGCACAAGTTATTGTATAAACAGGTTTGTCAACTAAAACTCTGAGTAGCAAAAGGCAAAAACATATAAAACATACTCACTCCAGTACCAAGAATGACTACACCTAAGAAGAGTGTGGCTATGAGGGGCAACGCGCTCTCCACCCTCCATATCTCCATCTGCAGACAAGTGCATTCATGTCTTTTTGTTATTTTGTCACTTCAAAAAATAAATGACATGCAGCAGTGAATTCCTTTCAAATATTATTCTTTCACATCAATCTTTTTTTATTCAGTCATTTCAGTTCTAGATCCGTCACCTGTTGATCATAGGCATCACTGGTGGAGAGAAGGTACTGAAGGAGATCCAAAACTTTATGTGCCGCTGGAAAAGCCCTGTATCCATTCAGCATGTAAAGGACCCACAAACCCTGAACACATCATCAAAACACATTTATTTTTTACACATGCACACACACAAACCCTTCAAAAGGTAAAAGTGACCTAGCCTACTTAACTGGGGATTGCAAAGAAAGATATGATGAGATGTTTTATTTGAATCACAAAATTTGTCTGAAACTGTCATTTGCGTTTCGGTAAGTTTAATGTCAAATTAATAAAAGAATATTGAAATAGTATTAATACATTTTAAAATAACCGTTTTCTATTTGAATATATTTTAAAATGTAATTTATCCCTGCGATGCAAAGCTGAATTTTCGGCATCATTACACCAGTCTCCAGTGTCACATGATCCTTCAGAAATCATTCCAATATACTGATTTGCTTGATAATATGCTGATATGTTGATTTTGCTTGCTAATATGCTGATGTCAATGTTGAAAACAGTTGTGCTGCTAAATATTTTGTAGAAAATGTGATGCATTCCCCCCCCCAGGATTCTTTGATGAATAGAAAGTTCAAAAGAACAGCATTTATTTGAAATATAAATCTTTTGTAACGTTATACATGTTGTTACTGTCTCTTGTGATTAATTTAATGCATCCTTGCTGAATAAAAGTATTAATTTCTTTATTTTTTAAAGTGACCCCAAACTTTTGAATGGTAGTTTGAATATATACGTCTTATACGGTTTGTCAGACAGGAAGGCATGTGGTGCAGTTATTGACTACAGGGTCGATCACAGCAGACCCTGGAACAGCCTGTCTTTCTATACTTATGCACAAACACACTCAAACAGAAGGATATTCAAGCACACAGATAGACAGGCACACCACAACAACTGTTTTATAGCTGTTTACATGACAAAAACCTTCATTATAAATTTAAAACTCCTGGTTTCAAAAAGTCGAAATTATTCAGCTACACAACATCATCACCAACTGTTTAATTTTAGCTAAAGCCAAATTTGCCACTTTTAGACAAAGCCAGAACATGGGAATACATTAAATATTCTCATACATACAGCGATTATAAATCAATAGACAGTCAATGGTGTGCGTACTGCATAAAGTGTGTTATGTAGGCTATCTATTAAGGATTTATTTTTTCATTATTTGAGAGAATGTGCATGAACTCACTGTGAGTTGAGACAGTGTGTACAACAGGAGGAAAGCTCCAGCTGTAACACTAGCTTTCAATACCCTTTCCCACAGAGCACCACCGACCCCTGGCAGGGGATCGTGAGTAAGTGAGGTGGCACTCTCCTGCTCTTTGGGTGCGTCCTCTCCAACAGGGGCTTCTGCCATGCTGCTCTCGAAACGTCCTGTCTTTAAACAACTGAAACAGACACAGAGAAAACCATATTTACTAGAGGCCGAATAGAGCATTTATTAGAGCAAACAGGAGCAAGAATGCAGCTGAATGTAATCAGAGAGTAGTACACTACATCTTCTGCAGTTCAGTCTCATAATTCATGGCATTGCTGTGGGAGGAATGACACATTTAGAGGTGGACTATGCAAATGAGACAGTGCTGCGGACATAACGCTAACATGGGATGTTATGCCATTTACAGTGCGAACAGCACTGTAGCAATCTTGTCACAAGATCCATAATGATCAGCATTAAGGAAATATTTAAGGTTTGAGGAGCAGTGATTAATGTTTCTAATTACATTACATTCACCATAAATTTTTTGAGTTTGATTACTGTTAGTCTACTGCTTTATTTTTTATTCATTAAATGAGAACCATTGACCATATAAGGAATCATATTTTCAAGTTTCAAAGCATGTTAAGCCATGAGCTCAATTCAGCTTATTTAAACTGAAATATTCCCACATCATGTGAGAGTTACTACTGATAAAAATTGTATCACTTTTTTCTTCTTTTTTTCATAGCAGAAATGCTTATGACACACTGTGTTTAATATTTAAACACTTACTGTGCACTGATAGTGACTATCAGTTTTCAAAAACATTAAAGGTGTACAATATCGCTGAGAGCTGACATTTCGACATATACACATAAACAAGCCATATAATTTTGTTAAATCCATGATCAATAAATAAATAAAAAATGGAACCTAGCCACCAATTTATTCTAGTTGTCACTCAAACTGCTTTGCATGAATATTGTATTGGATACTAATTTAGAAATGCTTAACTTGTCAAATAATGTGTAAAATACTAGTTAATTTTGCGGTTGAAATAGCAAATAATCACATAGCCAGAGATATATATATATATATATATATATATATATATATATATATATATATATATATATATATAATATACATACACACACAAGCAAAAGTCAAACCGAGCATGCTGTGTCACCTTTAGTGCAGAGTCAACACTCAGGGCTGGAGTGGATCACTCTGATCAATACTCCAGCTCCACACACACACACACACACACACACACACTGAGGTTGCATTTACAAGAAAAACAGTCACTTCAGCAACAAATACACCCATCCCCCTTTCTTTCACTCCTTTATCTCTTCGCTGCATTTCTCCCTTCTTTTCTTCTTTCCCCTATTCTCTTCCTCTTTTATCTTTCTTTAATGTTTACCCCTCTCTCTTCATACCTCTGACCCTCACCTTCGAATGGTCTCCTTCTATCCCTTTCACCTTTATCCATCTTTACTTCCCCCTTTCTTTTACCTCTCCTCTGTGATGAATATTATTAATTTATTTATCCCTGTACTCTATTCATGCAGCAGCTGGATGCTCTTGAATTATGAGAATGAGCTATAAAGAGCAGAGATCGCTGTTTTGAAGGAAACACACACATGCGTGCATATACACACAATTACACACCCTTCTCAGATTGTCTTTCATCAAACCTAAGCATAATCATCTCAAGCCACTTGCTAAATCAGCATTCAATTCCCAGCCACAAACTGTCCGACAGGGAGAGATGGAGAAAGGCAGGTATCTGAACGAAACCAAGGATTAAATGGGCCATAAACAAACTATTTAGTAATGGAAACTATGTTTTTGTCCTTTGACAATTTGACAATTTCTGTGTCATTTGTCAATGATAACTACTACACAGCATACATTTCCGACCATTCAAAAGTTTGGGGTTGGTACAATTTTTTTTATGTTTTTGAAAGAAGTCTCTTATGCTCACCAAGACTGTGTTTATTTGATTAAAAATACAATAAAAACAGTAATACCATGAAATATTATTACAATTTTCAATTGCAAATATATATATTTTTACTATTTACTGTATTATCAATGGTGAAAACAGTTGTGCTAGATATTATTTTTGTGGAAACAGTGATAAAAAAAATCAGGATACTTTGATGAATAGAAAGTTGAAAAGAACAGCATTTATTTAAAATAGAAACCTTTTATATTGTTATAAATGTCTTTACTGACACCTATGAGCAATGTAGTGCATCCTTCCTTGCTGAATAAAATTATTAACTTACTGATCCTAAACATTTGAACGGTAGTGTATATACACATATATTTAACTTAATATTGAATTCAACTCTATGGTCAAACTCTTAAAACTTATTGACTCAGCTTAATTTCAGTTAAGACTATAACTTCTGTAAAAACTTTTTCATTTTCACAAATGTAAAACTTTGCAAACTCAATTCCTTTCTCACTGAACTGCATAGCACATATCAATAATGAACTTATTATTTAAATTGTATCGTTTTAATATGTTGGCTTGAGAGAGCCATTTATATATTTAATTTTTTTTTTTTTTTACATTTATCTTAATTCTTAAAACCTAGTTTCACTTGACAAAAAAAATCGCATGCTTCTGTGTATACAAAAAGACTCACAAACACATTGCTTTCATAAACCAAAGCATAATCAAAAATATCCTTCACTCTCAGAGAAAGAACAGACATACTTCATAAAGAAACAATAGAGCACTTACTGTATAAAAAAAGCAAAGTTAGGCTCACATGACAGTGACAAACGCCTTTCTCAGGACCTAAAACAAACTAGGAGTAGTAAGAAGGAAAATGAGAAATAGATATTAGTGAGAACTGAATTAAAAATCTCAATTTAAATAGCAGTATTTATATAGCAGTAGATGACCATTCTTACTCATGCAGCTCTGTACAGGGCGCTACAGATGGCGATACAAGCAGAAGACACCGCGTGCCAAGTCAACCAACAGTATGGAGTCACTGAGCGGTATCGAATAAATAGCCCTCCATGTGTGTCTATCACAGAAAAATGACAGGTGGTCAAAATATAGCAGGAGATATGATTAATCCAAGCAAGACGTTCAGAAATCAAACACAGTGCAGACGACAGGCTAGACAAAAGGACGAAAAAACAATGAAGAACTTAAGGCCTGTGGGAGACATATCTCAAACCCGAACACACACTCAGTCTTCTCTACAATCAGTAAACAATAGCTGCAGAGGTCTGGTCTGGTGATGACGTGATCTACATTGGCATGGGGGTAACCATGGAAACAAATACACTCAGCAGCAAACGGTTTATATAGAACCACAATCAACACCCCCCTCCACACACAGACACACAAAGGTACACACACTCTGACACCCACACATACAGACACGCAAAGGGATCATGCAGCAGACAAAATCCATAGTGGAATAAAAGGAGAAACACAGTTCCCATCTGGCACAGACATTTCCTGCCTATTGTGTTCGAAACAAATATGAAATCCATTTCTCTTTCCACAGTTCTAATGAGATGCAAACTCATTATATAGGGCTTTTTAAAGTCATAATCTATAGCCAACCCCTAACCAATACACATATAAACAGCATAAACTAAACATAGACATATCGCACAGCCTCCGCACTGTACAATGAGGCAGACTTTATACATCCTACACACTATTCTGAACTAAATCAAAGTTAATATGCGTCAGCAATGCTTTTAACAACAACAATGGAGGGTAATAACTGTTGGCAATTTAGCATGGCCTTATTTATTTTCATTTTGGATACATTAGAAGTCTATATATCCATAAAATAATAATTTTTAATTCTCCTCAACAAAGAATTAGCTAATGGTAATACGGATTTTTTTTCTATGCTAATAGTTTTAATGAAAGAAAACAGCATGAAAGAAAGAGAGAGAGAGAGAGAGAGAGAGAGAGAGAGAGAGAGAGAGAGAGAGAGAGAGAGAGAGAGAGAGAGAGAGAGAGAGAGAGAGAGAGAGAGAGAGAGAGAGAGAGAGAGAGAGAGATTACCTGCTTAATAGCAGCCCTACACTAGGGCCGGTGTTTCATTGTGCTTGCTCGTACGAGAGGATTACGCTTGATGCTGGATGAGTTAAATCGGTGTGTTTTTTGTTCTGCAGACTGGGCCCAATATTGTGCTGCACCTTTGGATTTCCATGAATGAAAGCTGTCATGGTTTCCAAAGAACCCACCTCTCCGTCTCACTCTCCATTTCTGAAACTCATAGCTGATGTGATTAACTGGTTGTATACATTTCAGAGATGAATGACAAAGACAGGGCCACAAATCATTTGTGAGAAAGAGCGATAGAAAACGTAAGAGTCTGAAATCACGGGCAGGGGATTATTTAGACCAGTCTCCCCAACCCATGAAATATAGCCTAAGTCTCACTGGCTTAATGCATTGACTAAAAGCAAACATCCCTTTTTAAAACTAATTCCTGCACAAACAGTCATTATATTGATCCAAAGTCTGAATTATTCAAACAAACACTAAAAAAACCCCCAAAACAATATATAATAGTCTGACTGCATATATAGCCCCCATATCTCCATACACTCATCTGTTATAGGCTACACACACAGGATGGCAGTCTATCTGGAGAACATCAGTCACACAGCGGAAGGGATAAGATAGTCAACACTTGTTGAATGCCATTTAAGGACCCAAAATGCATCCTCCCATCTTCCAAAACCCACCAAATGGGCTTTGTAAAATGATCCACTACATCTATAACATACTGATAAAATGAATCTGTTTTTCATCATCATAAACATGAAGATCATTTACTTCAATTTCCTACCAGTCATTGTGTTCACCAACCAAAGACAATGTTTAGATTACTTATGATAGCCTGAATGACACATCCCAACGGTGAGCTAGTTTTTTTTTAAAGAACGAAACAGCCCGTATAAACAGGAGTAGGCTACATGCACCATACTGAAACGCCTCGCTGACTCGCTCATTGACTCGCTTCGCCTCTTCATTGATACCAACACTGCGTCGAGCGAGCGTCTCAGCATCCTCAAAAACACGACACGCTCTTCCACAGGACGAAATGGACACTGAATAATAATGTAAACCGCGCCGTCTATGGAAAAATACGGATGCGCTCTTACCTCTCGGTTGGGTGAAAGCGATGGAAATGAGCGCGGAGATTCGCGCAGCATCATTAATATTCACATCACAGCGCTCGCGGAGACGCGCGCGGAGGAAGAACAGGCAGCGGGAGACGCTGCAGTCGCTGCAGAGCCGAATAGCGGCCCTCCATATGAGTCCGCCTCTCTCACAATGAGGAGGGTCTGTGTGTGTGTGCGTGGTGCGCGCGTGAGCGCGCGCGTGTCTTAATATCCTCTGACTCTTTCTTCCGAGTATATTTTTGTTTGAGTTTTTAATAGGTGTTGACGTGTAAGGTATATTGTCTTTCGCGAGGCGGATGGTGCGATGCTTCGCTTCAGGTGGCAGCTGGAGGTGTAACCTAGGCAACGGGGTTACACCTCCATCTCGGGGTAGCTTGGGGTGGAGGGATTTAGAGCCCTATTCTCTCTCCGGTCCCATCAGCACTCACATTAGCAACAGCGTCATTTTTTCCATAAACCTCTGGTACTGTTCGGTCATTTTTGACTGAAAATTTTAACTTTTTCTTTTTGTAAATATTTTTTCAATTGTACGAAACGTGGTAAAGGTTTTTTTGGCACTTGCAAAAGTAAACAAAAAAATAATTAATTAAAATAAAACAATAATAATAATGGACACGAGTCGCGAATTTCATCTAGTGGAAACGTTTGGTACTGCGCCCAAACAAAATCTCATTTTTGAGATATCAACCCTAGTGAAAAAAAAAGTATACTTTATTGTATTTGAAATATATTCCCTAGTACATTGCAAATATACTAACAAAAATGGTACTATCCTTATTAAAAGTATATTAGCATCATGCATTTTCTTATTTTCACAATACAACTTTTAACACACTTTAAAACAATTGTACATTTTGACCACCACAGGAGCAGCACCAGAGGATAGGCAAATGAAAGCACGTGAAAACTTTTTCTTTCTTTCTTTCTTTCTTTCTTTCTTTCTTTCTTTCTTTCTTTCTTTCTTTCTTTCTTTCTTTCTTTCTTTCTTTCTTTCTTTCTTTCTTTCTTTCTTTCTTTCTTACCTTATTCATCATTTTCTATTATTGGAAACCAACAGACTTCATATTCCATAAGTCACTGCTTCCATCTAGTGGTGCTCAACTATAGCCTGCATGCTGCATTAATAACCACGTTAGCAGCGCCACTCGTGGTCATGATACGCAATCGCAGCATGAGTTTTGGAGAGCTGGGTAACAATACACTTTTGGCACCTTGGTTATGAGACTCTGAAGAACCATGTGCATCTAGTTGTATATATATAACTAGTTGTCATACTCTAGAAATATTTTCTCATGTAAATATTTCTGTGGTTTGTGTGGCATTTCTCTACAGAGGCTGGTGTGGTTGCTGCTGCTGTTATAGCGGTGTTATACATAGCTGTGGCTGTGGGAGGAATGGCACAGGTAGGCTGGCTATGGCTTCTGTTTCTGTGGAAGGGGTGCTATAAGCCTAGATACAGCTGCTATATAGCTAATGCTGCTGCTAAAAAAATACTGTCCAAACAGATCAGAACCCCAGGGAAATCTTATTTCTACACTTATTTCTATGTTCAAGGTTGTCTTCAAGTCAAACCCTGTAAAACCTGACATATGAAATAATAGTGAGAAAAATCAAGTTTTTTTAATGTAACAGGTTTTTTTTTTTTTAGAAATATATATATAAAAAAAAAACTTTATATATATTGCATATATATCTTTCGTTGAGTATCATATTTTAGTAGGCCTCAAGTAGGAAAAAACACTATGAAATAGATGAAGATGGATAGATGAATAGATAAATTCTATTCATCAATAGATAGAATTCTGATAATTGTTTGTAATGTAAATCAATGAGATGAGATCTTTATAACAGAACAGCACACTACTAACACAATGTCACAGTGTTTGGTTGTTCCCTGGGTTAAACACTAGAGGTCCTCAGTTTTCACGGTGTCTATGCATTCTCACTACAATTCCCATGATCCTGTCTGTCACTGATTGTTCATTGCCTTACAGCTGTTTCTCGTCACCCTGTTAGCACTTGTGTATATACACTCACATAAAGGATTATTAGGAACACCTGTTCAATTTCTCATTAATGCAATTATCTAATCAACCAATCACATGGCAGTTGCTTCAATGCATTTAAGGGTGTGGTCCTGGTCAAGACAATCTCCTGAACTCCAAACTGAATGTCAGAATGGGAAAGAAAGGTGATTTAAACAATTTTGTGCGTGGCATGTTTGTTGGTGCCAGACGGGCCGGTCTGAGTATTTCACAATCTGCTCAGTTACTGGGATTTTCACGCACAACCATTTCTAGGGTTTACAAAGAATGGTGTGAAAAGGGAAAAACATCCAGTATGCGGCAGTCCTGTGGGCGAAAATGCCTTGTTGATGCTAGAGGTCAGAGGAGAATGGGCCGACTGATTCAAGCTGATAGAAGAGCAACTTTGACTGAAATAACCACTTGTTACAACCTAGGTATGCAGCAAAGCATTTGTGAAGCCACAACACGCACAACCTTGAGGCGGATGGGCTACAACACCAGAAGACCCCACCGGGTACCACTCATCTCCACAACAAATAGGAAAAAGAGGCTACAATTTGCAAGAGCTCACCAAAATTGGACAGTTGAAGACTGGAAAAATGTTGCCTGGTCTGATGAGTCTCGATTTCTGTTGAGACATTCAGATGGTAGAGTCAGAATTTGGCGTTTACAGAATGAGAACATGGATCCATCATGCCTTGTTACCACTGTGCAGGCTGGTGGTGGTGGTGTAATGGTGTGGGGGATGTTTTCCTGGCACACTTTAGGCCCCTTAGTGCCAATTGGGCATCGTTTAAATGCCACGGCCTACCTGAGCATTGTTTCTGACCATGTCCATCCCTTTATGGCCACCATGTACCCATCCTCTGATGGCTACTTCCAGCAGGATAATGCACCATGTCACAAAGCTCGAATCATTTCAAATTGGTTTCTTGAACATGACAATGAGTTCACTGTACTAAAATGGCCCCCACAGTCACCAGATCTCAACCCAATAGAGCATCTTTGGGATGTGGTGGAACGGGAGCTTCATGCCCTGGATGTGGATCCCACAAATCTCCATCAACTGCAAGATGCTATCCTATCAATATGGGCCAACATTTCTAAAGAATGCTTTCAGCACCTTGTTGAATCAATGCCACGTAGAATTAAGGCAGTTCTGAAGGCGAAAGGGGGTCAAACACAGTATTAGTATGGTGTTCCTAATAATCCTTTAGGTGAGTGTATACCCTGTCTGTTTCAGTGTTTGTCATGGAGTCCTTGTACATTGTCCCCTCACTTCTGTTGTTATTTCGAGCCTGTTTCTAGTGTTTGTCTTTTATGTTTTTGGATTGCCTTTTTGGATTTTGACCTTTGCCTGGACTGGTTGTGAGTACGGATTACCCTTTAAATAAAACTGCTTTTGGATCTCTATTCCCTGTGTGTGCGTGTCGTGACACACAAATTGCATATAAATATCAGTTGTCACTCTATATCTCCTAATAATGTCAGTAAGATGACATTGAAATGCTTAGTTTTGTGATCAAAGATCTGTAGTTATTATTGTAAGTAGAAAAACATAATGCAAAGCAATACAATGCTAATTCTTAAAAAAATTATGTATGGATAATCAAGTAAACCTAAGTTGCTTCAGTTACCCTAGTGAAAAATAAATATACTAAAATGTATTTGAAATACTTTTATTTTATGCTTAAGTATACTACAAATGCATTTACATATTTATGTACTTTTAGTAGCCAATACTAAATTGGTATACTTAAAGTCTGCTAAATTAGAACAACTAATTTTGTACTTACAGTAATGCAATTTAGTTATCCAGAAGTAGTCCTGAGGTCCAACTAAAGAAATACTTATATTTGATTGTGCTAAAGTGGAACTATTGCAAGTAAGAAGCCCATAGGTACACTTAAAATATCTTGCATTAATAGACTGCTATTATACAGAGACCATACTATCCTTACTAATAGTGATATTAAACACATTTTAGGCTTAATATTGAGAAATGTGCATTGTGCAATAAAGAACTCCAAATAAAGTTTAATTATAATATGTATATCAGTAAGTCTCAAGCGATATGTCAGTAAATATGTTAATGGTTTTGTAGTATATTTAGTATGAAATAAATGAATTTTAAATACATTTTGGTATAGGTTTTTCTCTACTGGGGTACTATAATAACAATATAAAAGTTATTCTTACATATATAAAAATCAGTAAAGATTTCACAGCAACAAGAAATGTACCAAGAGAAGAGAAACGTTTTTGGAATTATACTAAAAGGCCTTTTACTTTACAGCTATGTACTCTTTGCTGATACTTTAACAAGTGATTCTTTAAATTTGTGACTTGTTGTGGAGGATGGTATTACTTTTATAAAGGATCATATTTATTGGCCCACCTGGAGAAAAAAAAGAAGATAAAGTACATTGAATGAGGAAGGCAGCCATATCTAGGAACCAGAATATCAAAACTGAACTGTTTTTGACTTGGACAAACAGTAACCAAGAACAACCTAAAACCATTTAACAAAGAAAAAAGAAAGAAAGAAAAAAACTCCCCATACGAATGCTCTGGCAACCACCCACAACACCCATTGTGGTGGGAAGTTAAGCACCACTATTTTCACTTTTTTAAAGAAAATGTAAAAAACTTGCTAAATTAATTTACAAACATCCATAGACTATTTATACATATACAAAGTTTTCAGCAAATGAAATAAAACTGCAGCTTACAGAAGTGTTTAGTTCTATGATCAGTGCAGTCTAAAAAAAAAGCTTCAATTGTGAGCGGGGAGATAAGAGTTTCACTGTTTCATCCACCAGAGATCTCTATGTATGACCACTTCCTGTTTAGTCACTGCATTCTGCCCTACTCTTGCTTGCTTTCTGTTACCCATGAGACTGCATAGTTCACTGAACAGGACTGAGACCCCCCCCCCCCCCCCCCACCCCACCCCCAAAAAAGAAAAACTGTTGCAACACAGAGAACAGTGAAACACGAAGCAGAGAAAACTGCACACAAGCATTTACAATGCAACACTGTTATGGGGCTGATGTACCAAATCATCAAGATTGCTGCTAAACTGTTTATGAACAAAATAAAAACTTACAGTTGTGGGGAAAAAAAGTTAGCAAACTCTTGAT